TTCGGGGGCGGCTCGGTGCTGGCGCTGCGGACGCTGCGGGCGTACCACACGCTGCGCGTGGCGCTGCAGTTCCGCGCGCTGGAGCCCGCGGGGCTGCTGCTCTACAACGCGCAGCGCCACGGCAAGGACTTCATCGCGCTGGCGCTGCGCGGCGGGCTCGTGCAGCTGCGGTGAGCGCGGCCGGCGGCACGGCCGCACTGCCCGGGGGGTGCGGAACTGAGCTCCGGCGGGGCCCAGGACGGGAACTGGCATCCCAGAAAGCCTCAAAGGGGACAAAAGTCGGGATTTATTCTTGTTTTGGGGGGGTGGGTGCGGTACTGAGCTCAGGTGAGCCCCAGGACGGGAACTGGCATCCCAGGAGGCATCAAAGGGGACAAAAGTCGGGATTTATTCTTGTTTTGGGGGGGTGGGTGTGATACTGAGCTCAGGTGAGCCCCAGGATGGGAATTGGCATCCCAGGAGGCATCAAAGGGGACAAAAGTCGGGATTTATTCTTGTTTTGGGGGGGTGGGTGCGGTACTGAGCTCAGGTGAGCCCCAGGATGGGAATTCACATCCCAGAAAACCTCAAAGGGAACAAAAGTCGGGATTTATTATTTCTTTGGGGGTGTGGGTGCAGTACTGAGCTCAGGTGAGCCCCAGGACGGGAACTGGCATCCCAGGAGGGAGAGGAGGAGGGGGAGAAGGAGAGAGGGAGGGAGAGGAAGGAGAGAGGGAGAGAAGGAGGGAGGGGAAGAAGGAGAGAAGGACATAAGGAGAGAGGGAGGGAGAGGAAGGAGCGAGGGAGACAAGGAGGGAGGGGCTCCCCAGCCGCTCGCGGTCCCGCCTGGCACGGCCCGGCTGGCACCCCGGGGTCACTGACTGAGGCAGCTCCCCGCAGGTTCGACACGGGCTCCGGCACGGGCACCGTCACCAGCCGCGTGCCGGTGGAGCCGGGCCGCTGGCACCGGCTGCTGGTGACGCGCAACCGGCGCACGGGCACGCTGGCCGTGGACGGGGAGCCCCCCGTGAGCGGGCACAGCCCCCCGGGCACCGACGGGCTCAACCTGGACACCGAGCTCTTCATCGGCGGAGTGCCCGAGGAGCACAGGGCGCTGTGAGTGCGGCACGGGGAGCGCCGGGGGCACGGGGACCGGGAGGGGGCACGGGGACCGGGAAGGGGTGGCACTGTCCCCGCAAAAGTGGCACTGTAAGGGTGGCACTGTCCCCATGAGGGTGGCACTGTCCCCATGAGGGTGGCTCTGTTCCCATGAGGGGGGCACTGTCCCCATGAGGGTGGCTCTGTCCCCATGAGGGTGGCACTGTAAGGGTGGCCCTGTCCCCAGGAGGGTGGCACTGTCCCCATGAGGGTGGCTCTGTCCCCATGAGGGTGGCACTGTAAGGGTGGCCCTGTCCCCATGAGGGTGGCACTGTCCCCATGAGGGGGGCACTGTCCCTATGAGGGGGACACTGTAAGTGTGGCACTGTCCCCATGAGGGTGGCACTGCCCTTGAGCATGCCCTGCCCCTGTGCACGTGGCACTGTAAGGGTGGCACTGCCCCATGACTGGCACCGTGGCAGCCTGGCACCGTGGCACTGTGGCACCATGGCACTGTGGCAGCCTGGCACCATGGCAGCCTGGCAGCCCGGCAGCCCGTCACGGTGCCAGCCTGTGGCGCTGTCCCCAGGGCGCTGGAGCGCACGGGCGTCGCGGGCGGGCTGCGGGGCTGCGTGCGGGCGCTGAGCATCAACAACCGCGGGCACGAGCTGCGCCCCGGCGCCGCCGACGTCCTCTACAGCAGCGCCGTGGGCGAGTGCGGCACCGAGCCGTGCCAGCCCAACCCCTGCCACCACGGGGGCACCTGCCGGCCCCGGGATGCCGACGCCTTCCAGTGCCAGTGCCCCGAGGCGTACGCGGGTACGGGGCGGGCACCGCGGGCGTTTGGGGTGGCACAGGGGTTGGGGTGGGCACTACGGGGTGTTTGGGGTTTGGCACTGTGGGGTTTTGTGGTTTGGAATGGGCACTCTGGGGTTTTTGGGGTATGGGGTTGGCACTGAGGGGTTTTGTGGTTTGGGGTGGGCATTGTGGGGTTTTTGGGGTACTGGGTGGGTACTGTGGGGTTTTTGGGGTTTGGAATGGGCACGGTGGGGTTTTTGGGGTACAGTGATGGGCACGGTGGGGTTTTCACTCCTCTGGGGGGTTCTGAGGGAGTTTCTGGGGTTGCTGTTGGTGCCCGCGGGGCCAGCGTGGCCGCGGGGGTTGGTGCCAGCTGCCTGTGCCCGCAGGCCCCACGTGCGCCCTGGAGCGGAACCCGTGCGAGCCCTCGCCGTGCCACGGCTCTGCCACCTGCCAGGTGCTGCCCGGGGGGCGGTTCCTGTGCGCCTGTCCCCTGGGCCGCCACGGGGACCTGTGCCAGCAAGGTGCGACGCTGTCCCACCCCCTGTCCCCTCCTGGATGACCCCATTGTGTCCCCACCTGTCTGTCCCCACCCCCTGTCCCCTCCTGGATGACCGCATTGTGTCCCCACCTGGCTGTCCCCACCCCCTGTCCCCTCCCTGCCATCCCCACCCCCTGTCCCCTCCCCGCTGTCCCCCCGTCCCTGGGGACACGGTGTCCCTGAGGGTGCCCGTGTCCCGCTGTGTGCCCAGCGTCGGAGCAGGACCCGGCCGTGCCCTTCCTGCCCCAGTTCAGCGGCTCCTCCTACCTGGAGCTCCCGGGGCTGCAGAGCTTCGTGCCCGGCCTGCCGTGAGTCAGGGACGGGGACACGGGGACACGACGGAGGGACAGAGGGACAGGGAGACAGGGGTGGGGGGACAGAGGGACAAGGGACAGAGGGACAGAGAGACACAGGGACATGGGGACAGGATGGAGGGACACAGGGACACGGGGACAGGGGCGGAGGGACAGAGGGACAAGGGATGGAGGGGCAGAGGGACAAGGGACACGGGGACAGGACGGAGGGACAGAGGGACAAGGGACACGGGGACAGGGGGACAGGACGGAGGGACAGAGGGACAAGGGACACGGGGACACGACGGAGGGACAGAGGGACACGGGGACAGGGGGACAGGACGGAGGGACAGAGGGACAAGGGACACGGGGACAGGGGTGGAGGGGCAGAGGGACAAGGGATGAAGGGACAGAGGGACAGAGGGACAGGGGCGGAGGGATGGAAGGACAAGGGACAGAGAGACCAGTAATCACTAATCAAAAACCAATACTTAATAACCCCTAATCACTAATCAATAGCCAATAATCACTAACTAATAGCCAATAATCACTAACCAGTAACCAATAATCACTAATCAATAACCCCTAATCTCTAACCAGTAACCAATAACCCCTAACCAATAAGCAATAACCCCTAATCACTAATGAAGGAGCAATAATCACTAAGCAATAGCCAGTGCCCCCGATCGATAGCCAATAATCGATCCCCTCGCAGCGATCGGATGTCGCTGGAGCTGGTGCTGCTGGCGCGGCGCCCGCAGGGGCTGATCCTGTACAACGGGCAGAGGAGCGACGGCGGCGGCGACTTCGTCAGCCTGGCACTGCACGGCGGGCACCTGGAGTTCCGCTTCGACCTGGGCAAGGGGCCCGCCCTGCTCAGGTGAGACCCCGGCGCCGCTGGCACCGCTGGCACAGCTGGCACTGCCAGCACTGCTCAGGTGAGGGCACAGCTGGCACTGAGCCATGGGCACCTGGAGTTCTGCTTCGACCTGGGCAAGGGGCCCGCCCTGCTCAGGTGAGACCCCGGCACCGCTGGCACTGCCAGCACTGCTCAGGTGAGGGCACAGCTGGCACTCAGGTGGCACCGGTGGCACTCAGGTGGCACTGCCGGCACTCTGGCCGTGCCCAGGTGAGGGTGCTGGTGGCATCGGTGGCACTCAGGTGGCACTGCCGGCACTCTGGCCGTGCCCAGGTGAGGGTGCTGGTGGCATCGGTGGCACTCAGGTGGCACCGGTGGCACTCTGGTGGCACCACTGGCACTCTGGCCATGCCCAGGTGAGGGTGCTGGTGGCACTGGTGGCACTGGTGGCACTCTGGCCATGCCCAGGTGAGGGTGCTGGTGGCACCGGTGGCACTCAGGTGGCACCACTGGCACTCTGGCCGTGCCCAGGTGAGGGCACCGGTGGCACCGGGACCGTCCCGTGTCACTCAGCTGAGCGAGGCTGCAGTTTTTATGGATTTTAAATGGATTTTAAGGGGTTTTTATGGATTTTTTTCAGATTTTAAGAT